CGGGCTCTGAGGTACACGGCTGTTGTCTCTTTCCCGACTGGAGACGGTACAGCGTTTATCGAGTTGGGAAAGAGACTAACCTCTCATTAGGTACTTACTCAGATAAGTACATCATGAATATAGTTTTAGTGAGGTATTTATCTAGATAAATACCTCATTAAACTATTCATGAGGTATATATCTAGTTAAATACCTCATGAATAGTTTAATGAGGTATTTATCTAGATAAACGCGACGTTTGCACGTTGTGCTTGTGTTATGATTCTGGAAATGCCAGAAATCGATTCCAAAGGTCAGCTACAGTGCACATCTATGCTTTTATCTGCTCAATGCCTTTTATTTCCCAGTGCTACTAGGCTATTCAGTAGATGCATGTCCGCCACAGCGGACCTATGTTTCTATTTTACACTATGAATGCAGTAGAGTGGGTAGGTGTTTAGTATCAGTGTGAATTTGCTGTCAACACCTCATTTGATGCCATAAATTGAGCCTATTTCCGGTGCGTAAATGCTATCTGATTACAGTGTCCAAGATGCAGCAATCGTGAATAAATCGTGTCTTGGGAATGAAACGCTGGAAATTCCATATCAGAGACCCAAATTTTTAAAATTTTCGGGGGGGGGGCATTAGATTGCGTCCGTGGTTGGCGTCTCACGCATGCAGATCACTCCACCTTGGCAGCTATGCATATGTGATCCTCAAACACAACTACACAAGCGCTAGTGTGACAGCGACCGGCTTATGAAATAGCGATGAATATAATATTTTTATTATTACTCTTTATTTTACGAATGGATTTTACTTATGCGAAAACTCGCTTCGCAATGTATTTATAAGTCAATCAGGAAAGCGAAACAATTTTCTCGTACGTGATGCGATGACATGCATGACAATGGTGATTACTGCTGATTTCATCACTGCATGGTTTCAAGATTTCCTGAAGGTATCAATTACTGCAGTTTTGGTACATTTCGTTGCCTGAAAAATACGAAACTTTGGAGTAATTTTAAGACAAAATATTGTCGTAATTATGAAATATGGAAATACGGGAAAATGAGACAAGCTCGTTTCTCCAATACCACTAAGATTTCGAAATAGTCTGATTTCAAGCGATTTCTAGCTGAGTTCCCGATTTCTAATTTGATTTCTGGGTTGAGTGTACGAGATTTCTACCGTGACGTACGTACCCCTCGGTGAAACGTGATCGATGGTTTTCTCGATTCAAAAATACGTAATACCGTGTGTGTAAACGTGACACGACCACTGCCCACTGGACATACAACTTTTAATAGCTTGTTATTGAAACACCTTATAAATCATCCCTCCCTCATCAAAGATCACAGGAAATGTCTCAATACATTATTAGATGTCGAAAAGCCCGTGTCCAAAAGATAAAATGCATATACATACATACACAGTACATCAAGTATCACCCTTACTTGTATTACTTATTTAGCCTACACGCTTAAAAATCAACAACTTGTTCCAGGTTGATATCAACAGGCGTGAACAAGGCCGCACAACATTGTTCACGCCTGTCGATATCAACTTGGTCTTGGAACAACCTGTGCGTTTTTAGCTGTGTAGACTATTTATCTTTACAACAATTGTGATATTATACTTTCTTAGTTATGTTTATCCTAACCCAACCTGTCAACTTTTCTTTTGGGAGGAAACCAGAGCACCACACAACAAGTAAAATTTCGACGTAGTTTTACATTTATTTTTCAGGTAGTTGCCAATCCCATGCAGAATCCCTCGCTCTGCAGATTTCTGATTCAATGGCCCGTCAACCCGGTCGTCATTTTTGGCACGGCACGCTTAAATTTTGGCATTCCTGATTTTAGCGTGTTTTGTCACGTCTATTGTAAACATGCAGGAAATGGAATGGAAATGATGAACCCGCACACAACTGTTTAACTGTTGCGTTTAATTCCCTTCTCTTTACTTAGATTAAAATTTAGTCTAACATGCAAGTTGTCAATTGCAATATTTTTTGTTGCTGTTTTAGTTAATCCAACATGATCTAATCTAGCCAGCTAAGTATTCTCGCAAGCCTACACCCCCCTGTACGTTGTAATGACTAAAATTATAAAAAAAAAACCGAGGAGTGCTTCTGTTTAACTTCTTTCAGCAAGAAAAGTCAAATCCATTGTCATTGACGTAAATCAGCACAGCTGGTGTTTCAATATAAATACACTTTCTTTACGAAAATTTTGTCATTTGAAGTCAATCCGAGGAAGAGTGAGGAACATTTTACAACAGCAGCGCAAATAAAAATGAGGGTGTTGGGAACAGTTCTAGCTTTGATTTTTGTTACAACGCTTTGTGCAGTAAGTACATAAATAATTTTGAAACCAGTCTAACGTATGTCTAACTTGTTACTAAATAAAGCAAACTGACCATATTAAAGTAAAATAGATTTTTTAGTTCAGGCGGCCGTATACGTCTTTTTGTTTACCATACAGCGCGGTATAGCTATGTAATAAAACGACATCAAAGAAGTATAGGCACGCAATCAAATATCAAATTTAAGTGAATTTCGTTGAATCTATATATTAAATTTCCCAGGGCCTTTTGCTGGTTTATCTATAGTTTTTGCGATTAAAAAAACAATAAATTGAAATATATAATATTTTTAACGCAAACTCTATATAAAATACTGACCGTGGTCGTGGATGTCACAGTTTATGAAATGGAATCAAATTTTTCTGCTGAGCCTATGCTTATCAGGGCATGCCTGTAACCTGTGTGACTGAGATTTGATTTTTTTACGTATCCTTTTACTGTTCTAAATTGTTCTAAATAATATTTGCGATTAAAGCCAATAAATTAAAATATTTTTTGTTGACGTAAGGTAACTACGCAGGAGAAATTGTGGGCATTATTTAGAGAGCAAAGCTGAAGTATAATACATCCTATTATCTTGCATTCATAAATGTCTTGTACGCTTGACGTTTCCATCAGTGGCTTGTTTGTAGCGATGCAATTATAGATGACTTATTTGATGGTTAAACCCCCATTTATAAGAATTTTCAGCTTCTCGGGCTAAACGGGGCGACTGAACAACCGAAATATTTCAGTGTTTATATGTTTTCCTCGATTGACCATTTGACCTTTGCGCAAAAAGAAGTTTAATACGGCAACTGCAACTCCCTCGAAAGTCGAAACGTCGAAGTTCTGCTAACATATTTTTCAGATAATTGTATCTCTCTCGATCCGCATCTGCCTTAAGATTATCATTTCTATATTGCACAAACTTTACATGTGGATGCTGTATATAATACTAATAATTATAATAACTTTATTCATAACAAAATACCAATATACTGCATGCATGGTATATAATGAGTACATAACATATTAACATTGAATAAAAAATATTAAATCACATGCAAAATCGTTGACTAGTATACTATAACTGGACAGGATATTTAAAATACCGAATTATTTTATGGATGTTCAACGTTAGTCAGTACATCAAAGCAATATTTAGCTACCAAATTATTGATGGATTTGGTTTTCATTGCAAGAATATATATAAATAAATCGTGATTATTAAAATAACTAAATGAGTGGTTTATCTGGTTAAGCTTATATATAAAAACGTCCCTGATATTAATACATTTTGCATTATTGCACTGCATTAAATAATGTTGTTCGTTTCCTACCTCGTTTAAATTGCAATGCTGACATATTCTTTCATCATATGGAACATTGCGATATCGACCTGTTTCAACAGGTAATCTATGCACCGAAATACTGAGCTTTGTAATAGCTTGGCGATGCTTAATGTTGCCAATTTCAGCAATATATTTTTCAAATTCGAAATTTATTTTTAATCTTTTGAATGTCCTTAGTTTGCCTTGATTTCCGCTTTGTTGAATATTGTCTTTCCAGTAATCGACAAAGCGCTCTTTTAAAATATTTTTCAAACAATGGCAAAAGTTTTCTAGTTCTTTTTGAGGTATAATGAAATTTTTAAGGCTATTCACTTTTATTTTGCATAGTTCCAGCAAATATTTAGTAAAGGAAGTTGGTTGCAAGTTTAGATCCATACAGATTTTTCCTGCTTCACCAACCAGAGTATCCTATATACTGATCAAATGCGCTTTACATCATGCAAGTTCACACTTATACCAGTAATTACATATATACTTAGCCTATAGACTATTTTATCTTTGCAACAATTGTGATATTAATTTCTTAACTGTGTTCATCCTGACCCACCCTGCAACTTTCTCTGTGGGAGGAAACCATGCATGTATGACTTTCGGCAAAGCGTTGACTGACTGCCTGTATTCACATGAGTCCGTAGCGAGAATCGAACCCTGGATTGCGCTTTCTCTGACGACTTTGCCGCCGAATTCCGCTTATATAAGTCTTATCAATGAAGATAATTATCTAAATCTTAATTTAAACACACCAGGTGAATCCATACGCTTATGGCCCTTGCACGAATCATAATAGAGGGGAAATAATTGTTGTTAAAGATCGCATTAGCGACAAAATAATGGTCTGCGTTCGTCAACGTGCATGGAAATATCAATGGCAGGTGATCAATGGTACTAACATTGTCAACACGCAGCCTCTGCCGCATATTATTGGCACTTGTGAAGGTATGGTGTTTATGAATATATATTCATGTTCCTTATGAATCTGCATTCTAAAAAGTAAAACACCCTGGTTAATTAAAAATTGCCTACATGCATGCAGGGTTAATCTAAAATTAACACTGTTTGGGGTAACTTCATGTTCGTGGTTAAATTTCCTAGTTAATTTGATCATAGTCCTGGCTAATTTAACCAGGAATTTTGGTTGGTCTAACCAGGCGGTATAGTTCAACTAACCAGACTATGTTGGGTGGATTATTCAACAAAAATTCATGGTTTATAATCCACCTAACATAATCTGGATAATTCAACCGTATACGGTATATATAGCCTGGTTAAATTAACCAGGATTCCTGGTTGAGTTAACCAGGCTATGATCAAATTAACCAGGATTCCTGGTTAAGTTAACCAGGCTATGATCAAATTAACCAGGATTCCTGGCCAAAATTAAGTTACCCCAAACAGGATTAGCTTTAGATTCACCAGGATATTTTAACTGTTTATTCTATTGTCCAGAGCGAACAAGCTCATGCAGTCAATAAGTTGTTTATTATATATGGCTAAAACAAGAGCATTCTTCGAAATTAGTCTCGTATATGGACTAATATCTTACAGTCCTAAAGCTTAATCAAGGCCACTTTGAACTTACAATGTAAGGCTTACTTTGTTATAAATAAGTCATTAAAGAAAAAGTGCGCAGATTAATGCTATGCAACATGGCCACTTTTCTGTGCCATTGATGGTCGTGAATAAAATTTAATTAATAATTAAAAGGGCTCAGCCCACTAGCGTGTAATCTTGCGTCCTTCTGTTACTGATCTTTATTCTGTGTCGATATCGAGCTGCCGACCGCGCTGGGGCTTGGTCTCTACAGCGAATAGTTATTCACCGAACATTGAAAATTATTCGGGGCTTATTGACCAATCACAAACCGAGAATAAAGTTCGAATGTATAATAATAATAATTATTACAGTTTTACTCTGAACCCATTTGGTGTTTTACTAAATATTTTCTATTTGACCTTTCCCCTTATATCCAAAATTTTGATCTAGGCAAGTCTAGACAAATATTTCATCACAGCTTGAAAGAGCATCACAAAATTAGTAATATTCCAAAGTTTCGTTGCGAAATGTTGTAAAATGAGGAAAATAGAGCCTTGCGAAGTTTGCAATTTTCAGTCATTTTGCATTATAAACGGGAAATTGCAGCCCCAACACCCGAATCGGATGTCAATTTCCCGTTTGTAATACAAAATGACTGAAAAACGGCAAACTTCGCAAGGCTATATTATCCGCATTTTACAAGATTTTGCAACAAAACTTTGGAATATTACTAATTTTGTGATGCTCTTTCAAGCTGTCATGAAATTTTTGTCTGGATCGAAATTTTAGTTTATATAAGGGGAAAGGTCCATTGGCTGATGCCGCTCTTTTTGTTTTTAAAGACGTTAAAGTGCAGGCATATGATACATATGAATCATGCAAACAAATATTGACAAGTGAAAGGTAAAATGAGGGTCGCATGTTCTTTATACTTTATCAACTTTTTGGGTTTCCAATGAAATTTCCAACTGACGTTTTCTGCATGAGTTATATAAGGCAAAAACTAAGTTAGAAAATATTTCGTTTATCTTACAGCAACAAGGGAAGTGGTGTTTACCAAATCAGTGTTGGGAACAATAAATTTACCGACGTGTATTGTCAAATGACGTCAGTCTCAGGATGCCAAGGTGGTGGTTGGACAATGGCGATGAAGATTAACGGACGCTCGGTAAGCTTTCGTGCAGATTTAAAGACCATGATTGATGTAAAGTCCGTTCTGCGCAGGCTTACATTCCAATGGTCAGGACCCGACCGTTGGAATGTTATTAATATTTCGTATCTTTTGAACTTTCTTGAATTGAATCTCTAGTCTGTATTCATTGACAAGCATAGAGAACCAGAAGAGTGTTAAAAATTCAGTATAATATATATCTAATCATATTTTACAACAGTAGCATTGACTTCAAAATGTAAATATAGCGTTTGTTTACATTACGGACTTTACATGGTCTTTAATGATTTAATGCCTCAGTTAATTAAAGGGTAATGGCAATAAAAATTTTATTGCTTTATCTGAAAGAGCATGAAAAAATAAGTCGATTGGCCGTTTACTGCTCTATTCTATCTCATCTGGTTCCGAAGTTATACGCAAAAATGTGCAAAATATAAATTGCTGATTCAGCACAACGTGTGACGTCATTGGTAGGGTAAGTATGTTTAATGAATAGTAAACTGAAGCATAGCTCAGTTATTATTGGCTCAAATCAAATGACATTTTACATACAGATAGTACATGATGAGACGCATGGGAAAATACTTCTAATTTTGTTGTCAAGGCAACGCAGTCGTTCCCAGGCCCCTTACACTGATTTTGAATAACTAGTTGCATTTATCTATGTGTATGTCATTTTCGAATTATTATCATGGAAGTAAACTTTTGGCATGCATAGGTATGGTACCATAGAAATATTAGACCAATATTATGTCTATTATTTCTATGTATGGTACACATACTTCTGACATTATTTTATTCTTATAAGTACCATGAATAAAGCTGTTTTATAAAATTGGCGCAAGGGGCCTGGGAACGACATTGTTACCTTGGCAACAAAATTAGAAGTGTTTTTCAATGCGTCTCATCATGTACAATCAGTATCCAAAATTTCATTTGATTTGGGCCCATAATAACTGAGCTATGCTTCAGTTTAGTATTCATTAAACATACTTACCCTACCAATGACGTCACACGTTGTGCTGAATCAACAATTTATATTTTGCACATTTTTGCGTATAACTTCGGAACTAGATGAGATAGAATAGAGCAGTAAACGGCCAATCGGCTTATTTTTTCATGCTCTTTCAGATAAAGCAATAAAATTTTTTATTGCCATTAGAATTGGGTTAGGGTGAGCATCAATTAATTATAAGGTCAGGTTTAGGTAGGATTAGGATCAGATTTAGGATTAATTTAATGTGAGATGAAGGATTAAAGTCAGTTTTAGGGTGATTTTAACGCATTTGTTTTTATAGAGTACTTTCAAATACAGTTCCGATTATTGGACGAAGAAAAACACTCACAATGACGATGCCTATGGACGAAACGGCGGTTTAGACAACCGAGAATATAAAGGATCGTCTTATTGGAGAACCTCATTTAAAGAAATATGTGTTGGTATGAAATATGGTGGTCGTTTAAGAGCCTTCTCTTTCTCGTACAAGGCATCATCGCTGTATGATCTGATCGCAGACGGAAACCATCGACACACTCACGTTGGTCGCGCGCAGTGGAAATCATTGATCAGTGGATCATCCTTACAGCATAACTGCAACCGAGAGGGATTTAACTTGCGAGGTGATTCAACGCTGTCTAAATTTAAAGTAACTGTAAAAGTTCGGTTGGGCATTATTGCAAACCAGCAAAATGATTGCAGTACGCCCGACTCTTACGTTGGCCTGGGAGCTGAAGGTGGTTGGAATTATCCCGTCGATTCAAACTGGTGTCAGCCGCCAGACAAATCTCTCAACTCGGCGGGTAATCTTGCCCAGTGTAGTCCAGACAACGGAAACAAGAATACCAAAGCCATGGCATACATACTGGTTCGTTAATAAATAAATAACTCAGTGTCGGTCCGATTTATACCAGAGATGTATACTGATGCGTCGAAACCCATCTGTCTAACGAATCACTCAGTTTAATTAAGGCCCATCTTCACTCAAGAAAAATTTCCACGGCCAGAAAAGTTTCAAAAAATATCATTTTTAAAAGTTGAAAATTCTTCAAAATTTTTTTCCGACGGAAAACTTGTGTCGGCCAATCACATTTTAAAAAACTTTCTTTCTGCGGAAAATGTTTCCTGAGTGAAAATGGGCCTTTAAGGCTATATTGCATGTAACTTTTTTTTGCTGCAATTTGCAATGAAGTTTCCATGCATGTTAACTAAAAAATAATTGCAGAGAAATTGTAAGCTCATGGCTTACAGTTTATTCTGCTGATATTTTCATATATTTCTTTTATTTTTCATCCCTTGATGGTTTTGTGAACAAATCATGCCTGATATTCTCCTGATAGCTTGTCTGATGCCGTCGAAATATCCAGAACTATCTTAATTTTTTCTGCTCCGCGCAAAAATTGGTCCAAACGCATTGGCCGTCTCTAGCATAAATCGGGTCATTCACATTTAAGATTCATTTAACATAATCACAATATGGCTAATTATAGTATAGTATAGTATAGTATAGTAAAGGAACTAGATTAAATCTTCAATGTTATAATCACCAAGGGTGGGTTGACTACAAAATTTTTGTAGTTCGCTATAACTACAGCTACTTCAAAAATATGTAGTCAGCTACAACTACTGCTACTTTTGAACAAAGGTAGTTCGCTACTGACTACAGCTACTGCTTTAAAAATGTAGCAACTATTTCGCTATTTCGCTACTCTATAATTTTAGTTTTACTGTATTTGGAGCATCTACTAACTCAAGCTGAAATGTAACCTATAACAAATCGACTTACGAGTAGCAACAGTAAACACAAAGCGACATTTTTGGTAAGCACTATAGTGTTCAGAAGTGCAAATGGACAATTGAGTATTGATTTTAAGCAAACCGTGTCTATATCATGCTATTCTATATCAAGTTGCAAACAATTTTAAAAAGTAGCGAATAGCGATTCGCTGTTTGAAAAGTAGTCAACTACTTGGCTACTTTTAGGCAAAATGTAGTTCGCTATAACTACAGCTACTGTTTTAAAAAAGTAGTCAAAAACTACTGCTACTTGAAAATTGTAGTTCGCTACAGTAGCGAACTACAACTACTTCGCTACTATACCCACCCTTGATAATCACATAGTGGTAATAGCACGATATTAATTTTACTTTAAGTTGATGATTATCATATACTTGCTTTATTTTAAATTAATCAACATATTTCAATTATCAGAATTGCATGGTTAAAAACTTTGCATTGCGAAATGCAGTCAAGGGTTGGTACTTTATGTAATCTAAATTCAAGTGTAAGAACATGTAATCCAAATGATGTAATCTTAATTAAACCAATTTGTCGATCAACTAGTGTGCTGAAATTATTATAAGTACAATCTGCAGACATGCATGTTTCGGCGTTGGTACACGTCTAGATCATGATACATGAGCGTGCTCTCACCAAGTGCATGTGCATGGTACAACACGAAGGCATCGACGCATCTAAACATGCGCAGAGTGTATAAATAGGGCCAGAGTGCTCAAACGACCACAAGGGAAGTGATCATATATAAAACGCTGGGTTTCTGGTTTCTCGACTCTACTTAGCTTTTGGTGATTAATTTCAATACATAAAAACTATATATCCCGTCATTCATCCCGCCCCGGCCATTGAACTATAAATAAACTGGAAGGCTAACTGCTATGATGAAGGCCTATGATTTGATGAAGGCAAAATAGTTTTTCTGAGTTATGAGCAGAAATACTTGACCCCAAACGTCGGGCTATATATCAAATTGAAGCTATTGAAAATTGCTATTCGGTGTGGAAATTTCAAGACTTCAGCGAAAAGAAAAATATTTAAA